GGAGGAGCGAGGACCCGGCCTTATCCCGCCTCACCAGCGTCCTGAAGATCTGCGCCGACGAGTGGAACTCCGGCGAGAAGTTCACCTGCTCCGTCACCGTCCCCCAGCTCGGCGAGCCCATCGTCAAGTCTGTTAAGAAAAACATAGGTAGGCGCCCGTCCCTTCTCTCCCGCCCCTACGTCCCGCCCTCCGAGTGCCGGAGCGGGAGGCGACGGGCCTCTTCCCGCCACGGTGTCGGCCGAGAAGCTGGGTGACAAGGGAGACGGCGGGGGTTTCGGCAAGGGAAGAGCGGTTTCGGGCAAGTCGAAGCAGCTGGCTGGAAAAATCGAGTCTACCGGGCTAGTCTACCGGCAGAGTCTACCGGGAGAGTCTACCGGAAGAGGCTAGTCTACCGGAAGGGTCTAGTCGGAGAACCTGGGGCTACCGGGAGAGTCACCGGGGCCGGTCTGCTGGAAGGGTCTAGTCTACTGGAAGGAACTTGTCCACTGGAAGGGTCTTCTCCACCGGAGAGGTCAACCGGGAGGGTCTACCGGAAGAGGCTAGCCTACTGGAGAGGTCTAGCCTACTGGAGAGGTCTAGCCTACTGGAGAGGTCTAGCCTACTGGAGAGGTCTAGCCTACTGGAGAGGTCTAGCCTACTGGAGAGGTCTAGCCTACTGGAGAGGTCTAGCCTACTGGAGAGGTCTAGCCTACTGGAGAGGTCTAACCTACTGGAAGGGCCTAGCCTACTTGAAGGGTCTAACCTACTGGAGAGGTCTAAACTACTGGAGAGGTCTAACCTACTGGAAGGGTCTAACCTACTGGAAGGGTCTAGCCTACTGGAGGGGTCTAGCCTGCTGGAAAGGTCTAGCTTACCGGGAGGGCCGGCTGCGCCAGCCTGCCGGAGGAAGTCATCCCGCCGGGCGAGCTCTGTCCCTCCCCGCTGCCCTGACCTTCTCTTGCGCCCACCCCGCAGACGTCTCCGTGAAGGCTCCTTCCGTCTACGTCTTCCCCCCGCCGGCTGAGGAGTTGGCCCGGCAAGAGACGGCCACCTTGACCTGCCTGGCTTTGGGTTTCCGCCCCCGCGACATCTTGGTGACCTGGACCCAACAGGACCGTCCCGTGTCCGCCGGCAGCTACTCCATCTTCGGGCCTCAGGAGGAAGGAGGCACCTACACGGTCTACAGCAAGTTGAACGTGCCGGCGGCCGACTGGCAACGGGGCGACTCCTTCGCCTGCGTGGGGCACGACGGCATCCCCATGAACTTCGTGCAGA